AAGCCTTCGGCCTCGCTTCACGAGGAATTATTAAAAATCCTCTATAGATAAGAGATGAACAAAATACAACTTTCCCAGCCTCTTATGCATACATATTTATTCTTCCCTTATACACTTTTGCTTTATATGCCTCTTTCAAGACCCTGCAAACAGGAAGAAAATCTTTTCAAACAAAAAGAGCGTAGACATCACTGCACACTGTTCCGTCGTTATCCTGTTCGGTGTAATTCACCAAATCTTCGGCGTACCACACACGAAACTCTTGACCTGAAGAGACGTGGGGGGGATGGGAGAAAACTGACAAGACAAGCTCTGGGGACAGTGAACTGTAACCGACATCATTGTACCATTTTCCAGCTGCAAGCCCCCCATGTGCTAATAACTGGTTTGGCGGGAGAATAATGCGGTTATGTGCATTCGTTATGACTACGCTTATGTGATTTTTGGTTGCGTGAAGGTGACCGCAGCCCCAGTATGACCAATGACTCGGGTTAGACGACGCACAGGACACGTAACCGTACAGATGAACCAGCTTTATGGCGGCTAATTTGCCACTGGATGGTAGGTGGAACCTTCCAAACACGTTATGTCTGGCGCCAAAACACACAGGATTGGAATTAGCCTTGCGCCAACCTGAAAAAAAAATTAAAGATTTCGGTCAGAGTTACAGGCATTCTGCTTACTGGGTTAGATTATTTTTGTCCAACAAAGCAGTACATCATGTATTTGCTTTTAGATTAAATCTTCTATTATAATTCGATGTGGGGCTATCTTTCGGTTTGACCTGTGTCTGCCCTCTATCATTACACAGTGTAGGTAGGATTTTTCGCAATTTTTGATGGCAAATTTTTTTCCAGCAACCAAATACGGTCATGATTATAAAATAAAGGCACTGAAGAATGGTTGAAGTTTTCGGCTTTATTTTTATTTTCGCAGTTATCCTTTTAAATCCTTTAATAATGGGCTTTGAAGAAAAGGGGCGGTGAGTAGACTGTTTACAGTCTCCTAATATAGTTTTTCGTGAGATCGTCGAGATATATAGCGCTTCTTACCGTTAATGGCTAACCTCTATTTTTCTCGCTTCCTCCCAAACCGCACCCGCCCCCTAAGTAATTTTGACACTCATGCAAGATGGCAGCCCGTAACGCAAAGCGCTCGATCTCGACGATCTTACGGAAAAATAGAGGACTGTGAACAGTCTAGGTGGTGAGCGCATTCTATCATATCTGAGTGTCTTACATATTTTTTAATAATTTCCGTTGAACTTTTAAAGACTTACATCTGGGAAGTTTAACCGGTAAAGGGTTGTATATGTTAAGATCCTTTTGTTTCCCTTTCCCTCTTTTTTCTTCTAACGGTTTGGCAGTGTGTTTGTGTTTTTTATTCATATTAATGTCTTAGTTTTTGATAACACTGTTTCAGATCATTTCAAGCCAGCTTGTAACTTTTGTAGCACTCGCAAGAAAGAACTCCGAAGTCTGTTATTTAAAACTCAAATTAAAAATTCTTAAACTAGCTACCTACCACTCGCCACCTCCATCTTGGGCCTCTCTATCTAACTGCCTACGGTTATTAGGAGTAAAATCTAATACTGATTAAGATTGCCTTTATTAGAGATCTTGTTTAAAACATTTTCATTAAAATCTAGTAATCTAACAATTTCACCAGCAACAAACCTGTGCAACTTTCGTCCTGTTCTCTCTTCCCTCGACAAGGTTCCAAAGAATCTGGGAGTGAACTTGGCTCGTCAAGGAAAGCCGTCTCGGTCTCATTATATTCAGGAGCTCCATCAGCTAACAGCATCATAATACCAAGTGCATAAACGAAAACGACAATCATCATGACCTTCATCGCGATAATAGAAGAAACTTCACTTGCGTTTTATGGTGCTCGTTGTTCCGGGTTAAGATGGGAATCTGTGCACTGCGCGGGTCTTTATATTATGTCGCGTTCATATTCTAATATGTCAAGCATCGGACTCATTGTCATCATCCGATATCCAGAAACTGACAAAAGTGGCTTGAAAGAAAAGAAGCACAGTTGACTTATTTTACACCGACTTTTTATGGCTTCTTGATATCGAGTAAAACGCTGTGTTTTGTGTTGATAATACGCGTCTCAGATGAACAAGTGGGGCTGATGATATCCTTAAAGAAATTCAAAACACACTAATATTTTGTCGGATAATCAAGTTCCGATTTCTAAGCTATTTCTAACACTCCTTCACGCAAGTTAATTTCTTTGTTTTCTATGATGTGTATTAATGAGCTTGGAAAATCATCGTAAAACCTCTTTCAGCGGTGGCCTGATTTTCACTGGACCGTTCCTTAATCGCTTTTTCTCGGAGGGTCTGAGTAAGCGACCTGATAGCCTGCGTAGCTGGCGGTATTGTGTGGGTGCGAGATTAAAGTTTTGGCGGCGGAGCCGTGTTCCAAAAAAAGGGAGTAGGGACGAGGCGGTTGAACAATGAACAATGAACAAATGAACAATGGTTCTTAAAGGAAAGTCAAAGCCGTGAAAGTTCTTAATTTTAATGGTAATTAAAATCCCATCCCATTTTGATAGCCCCAGTTCTATCTTCATCAGTGAATTGCAATGAGTAAGTTTGACAAATAAAATCTTCCGCCATAACTGGCTTTAATAAAGCTGGAAATGAACAGTAACTAAATCAAAAATCAGGAAGCTCCGTTACAAACTAGCCGAAAGATGGGAAATTTTAAGGACAATGCTGTATTATTCCTTGAATAATACTGGTGTGAAAACGTTTTCACGAATAAGCGCCCATGCATCCCCTCGGCTAAACTAAAAATAACCTCTCACCTCAAGGATTCGTGCACAAGATTTGAACGTTAGAGTGAGAAATGTTCTCGCCATGACATGGTCTACTGTAAGAGCAAAACATGTACGGTTAATAAGCTCTTCTGTTTTTGGTTAAACAATACATTTTCTTTGAAAAAGCGGGTTTCTTTTGTCAGAGTAAAGAGAATAAATGCATTGATTTCGTCCGCCCAGGCTGACTGATGAGGATTTGGAAGTTGCATGTCTGGTAAATTAGATTAGTCAGGGAGGTCAAACCTTCAAGGTTTTAGAAGTCACTAAAAAATTAAACCGCCGCTGGGAGCTTCAAATCGACAAAAAACAGTCCATAACAACAAACTTTATATTTAACTCAGTGCCTTTTTTTAGCGGGAATAATAGTTTTGTTTATTTTCTTCTGCTCAAAAAGCCGTTAATGGTTTATGTCGTTTAGAATCCCTTTTCACAAGCAAAGCGGCCATTCAAATGCATCTAGCACAGGTCTGCAAAAAAAAATAGTGGATAATAGTAAATTTGTAATCCATAGTACAGATGATAGTGAAGCCAACGAAGAAAATTGAAAACTCCTGCGAAAAAATATAGTTTTTTTGTCTCCAACGTAAAATACATTTGACCAAGAAGAGTTGTAACTGCGAGTAAGGAAGTGTCGGTAACTTACAGTTACTGTGGCTCTAACTTTGCGTTGTTTTGATGATCAAAACATTGGAAGATCTAAAAGGAAAAAGATAATTAACTGTTGCGCCCCCTTTTATTCCAACCGTTCAATTTGACGAAGAAACAAAAGAGATGTCAACTCAAATGGAACTGGGTAATATGACAGTTGAACTCTTCTAGCTTGGTCCCTAGTTCCGCGGTAACTATTCCTAGGAGAGATCTCTGACATCGCTCTGTGAGAGGGGTTTTTAAAAACTCGTGTCCTTGTTGGTATGAACGACCATTCCCTGGTTTACGTGTCCGCTTGGGGGTCTATTTAGTTCATGAAAAAGCGAGACAGGTCCTCCAATTTGGAGTTTTTAATGATTATTTCACTGTAGTCAGTGTGTAGTTCGTGAAACAGAGACTTCCAGTGTTCGCACTTCTGAAAAAAAGGCTTCGGACAGAGTGACTTCTGAAAACTTAAAGCTGTGAAGCTTCGTGAAAAAATGCAAAATTTTAAAGAATATATATCAGCCGAGGACGTTATCTTTCAATCGTTGATTTGTTAAATGTAGCTGCACTAGATAATGCAATCAGCGACTAAGTTTTGAATAGAAGGTTTGAATATGCTTTTACGCGATTTCACGTTTGACAGCGAAGTTTTAACCAGCCTGGTATTAAAGCATAAATAATATAAAAGTATAAGTTACGCGAATCTCAAACTAGTTCATCGTAAAGAAAGTTTATATGCGTGTATAAGACGTACATTTTCAGCCTGTGATGTCAGGGCTCGATTACGAAGCCCCAGAGCCAAGCCGAAAAGAGGCGAGAGAGGCCTGTTCTTGTTGGCAGACTAGCGTAAAGCCAACTCAGTCTAGAAGGGTTACGGACGTTGCCACCTGCACGCCTAAGCACACGTACCTACCTGAAATTTGTGAAAGATAAAAATAAACAAAATCAGAAATTATAAACAGAGACACAAAGCAAAGAAATATTAAACAAGCGGGGAGTAAGCAAGAGTTGATCAAAAGTGCCAGTACCGGCTCTTATAGCTTAACGCCTCTCGAACTGTTTTCAAAACAAAAGTGTTTGGGTTTTCTCCCGACTTACGCACACGAAAAAATACGATGGACTTGAATGACTGACTTGTCACCAGTCCTCTTCGTAACATTTTGGTTTCAGGAGAAGGGGCTGGTAACCCCTCCCTGTTATCTCGCCATTATGGAGAGATGAGAGTCAGACTTGGGTAAGCTTCATGTAGAACACGGTCCAACGTCCAAGAGTGATCACCTCACCACAACTGATATGAAACGCAAATTTAATCAAGTCAACAGTGCGAAAAAGATTTGCAAAACTCTACGAACTTCTGAAAAAATTCTGGCTGCACCCCTGTTTAGTAATCCGTTTGGGGGGCCTCGATTCAAGTTGAAAAAAAGAGAGAGAATGTTCTCTCTTGGTTGAAATTACAGTTTTCAATATTTTACTATAAGACAAATCTAAAGCCCTTAGAATAATACAAATTTACATATAAGTAAACTCCAGCAGTTTCACGGTTTCCCTTGACGTTTAAAAGCAGCACTCTCGGGTAATAATGGCCGTATCTCATCCTCTTCCTCTTGTGCACGCCGTAGATCCCACTTCAGTGAAAACACAGTGAACAAGAACAGCACTGAACTAAGCAAGTACAAACCAGGAAAGAGGATATATAACGCTGTACGCAGACTAGTTGATCTCTTCAGTGGAGGAACTAGCAATGGCATGTTACCGCCGATAATAGAGATTATAAATAGGTAACCAGCGATTGCAGGTGAACGAATGGTGTTTGGAACAAGTTCAACTACCACAGTTAATGTCACGCCTATCCACATTTCACCAATGATGTTGGATGGTATAAGACTGATAAAAGCATATGGAGGTTTTAGAAACAGAGCTCCAGCAGCAAACGGGGCAGCGATCACCTGGGGGAAAATAAACAAATTATAACAATTTAGTTACAACTAACCCGACCTCAGTCTTGTACACAGGTCTTACTCAACTTTATTACAAATTCTTTATTTGTTGGGCTAGAACGAAATTCGACCGCTAATTCTTGATACGGGCGGCCGCACGCATCAGGAGAGAATCGATGGGTAATCGGGTTAATTAATACTCGAAGCTAAGCTGAACATAGGTATTGGTGCTGGTGGATGGCAAGTGCTGGAACGCAACCCTCCTAGAGGGTCTTATTAAGTGCTCCGTTTGCGCGCTATCTTATTTTTGGGATTTCCCTCCTTTCCGATACCAATTTTGTTAATACATTTTTTCCTTTATAGGAACATCTATTTTAACACACAAAACGAGTTTAAACAGATCCCCAGTTAGTTAAAAATCATAAAACAAACAGGTAAAATTAGAACACCAGAAAAACAAAAAGGCGTATTGAGTACACCAGCGCCTGAAATGGCGTTTCGTCAGAAGACTTCAACATTTTAAGGTCAGTTGCTGTTCTACTATTATGCGGCAGAGAATTTTAATAGACCACGCCCACCATTAGGCTTGGAGCTACTCCGCATGCATATGGTGTTGTTTGCTTGGAACAGTCGTAACTGATCACGATGCCTGAAGATTTTTATTGTCGATCTGACCACCGTATTTGCAGCTTTAGTTAACCACTTCCACAGTGAGTAGCCTGTTCCAGGCTCCGAGATAGTGTTGAAAAGTCGTTCAGTAAAAAGAAATGCGAAAAACGCGCGAGGGCTGGGGACAGACAGGGCGCCACCGCCCCCTTTCCCAAGTCGCGCGCGTCTTATTTTCGCTTTGCTCGTTTTAATACGTCCGCACTATACTATCTGAGAGCCTGGCACAGGCTAACAGTGAGAGACCCACGTAACAAGATGTTTGTCTCGTGATCAATCCTTCCGCACGTACAGGGATAGCAAGGATGCTGAAAAAGAGCCGATAACGGCTAAAACTAAACGTACGATACATACATGCAGTTTTGAATAATAATGATAACAATGAAGGAATTTAAAACGTTCCAGCTTTAATAACCTTTTTGAACGTGTTAGAGAAGTTGCAACTTGACAAATTAGATTATATTTCAAACACTTCTTACCTGGCTAAATACCAGTACCCAGACTCTTGCATAAGATCCTCGGTTCTTTATAATTCGGTCTGAGATAAAACCTCCAAGAACCACGCCCAGGCTGCCACCCACTAGAGGAATCCAGCTCATGTATTCTCCAACATTGGTATTTGGGTAGTATTTGTTAAAGTAAGGCTGAGTGTTATAGGCCCAGACATAACCACCAGCATTCCTTATGGATCCAGCAAGAAACAAGATCAGCAATGAAGGGCGCATAAATGTCTCGCAGAGTAATATTAATTTCAGCTTCAGTAGCTCTGGTCGACTGGAGATGTAGGTGCTGGCAACTTTCTTCAAAAGAAGTAAACAAGAAATGAACATCACCATACACGAGACTTGTAGCAATGGCTTAGGAGATCAGCTGCACATGTTTCTTCAGCAAAATTCAGCAGGAGGCACCACTGCTTTACAAAAAAATATTCCTTGGTCTGGCGCTAAATTAAAGGAAAGCTTTGCACTCTTCTAGCCGGTAAAGGGCAACTTACACTAGACTTTTGGTTCCTGCTTTTGACCTACGGCTTCACAACTGGGGAGACCTAACAGGCACGAGACAGCTGTCTCAGCTATTTATGGCTGTCACGTGAGGTACTGGCCATAGAGACAATAGGAGGAATGGGTACAAGCTATCGGCGCAACGATTTCTGGGTTCGCTTGGGTGGGCAAACGGTAGTTATGATTGGTCGATGGTGTTTAAGGCAACCATTAACCAATCATAAGAAAGGCTTGTCTACGCAAACGATCCCATCCGTATTTCCTCCCTCCCTGAAGATGGAGGAAATCTACGACTCCCCTAAAATCACCTGCAGGCGAGGCTAGAACCCATGCCTCTTGCTGAATTCTGGTCCGTACATAATCTATACTAAACTGCAAGAATATTTTTAAAATGGCAATTATCTAAGTGACACACCTGTTTTTGTATATCTCCTCTCTCACTTCTTGCTGGTTCTTTTAACGTAAAAAGCATGAGGATTCCAAGGACAAACCCAGGCATGGCGGCAATCCAAAACACCCACCTCCATCCTTTACCATCAATATCAGCCTGTGTTATAAAGTTACCAAATGCATATGCCATGCTGTAACCGATATATATTCCCCAATTATACACACCAAGAGCAGATCCTCGTAACGTCTATATAAAAGAAAAGTTAAATTTGAAGAAATGCATCTATGACTGCATGAACGCACTGATTAAAAAGCCTGATGAGACTACAAGATTGACGGGCGGATGACGCTGGGGTTATGCAACTCCTGTGTGAAGTAAGGGGGACTAATTGCTCGCAGGCAGGATAAGGTATACGGATTTTCCTTATTAACGTAAGTACAAAACGTAGTGTTCTTTTCTGGCTCTTACTCTAAATGGATTCTTTCCAGAATCCGCCATCTTGGAAAATAGGAAAAAGCCAGCAAAAGTGTTGTTGTGGATTTTCAGCATCATTTTGAGCATAAAATGTCAATCATCTCTTGCACTTGAACGAAAAGTAAAAAATTCCAGAAACTCTATGCCTAAAGCCTGTAAAGCGAATGATTGTATGTGTGTCAAGATTAAAATGTCTATCAAGATAGGCTTTTAGTTCTCACCTCTGGAAAATAGTCAGCGATCAAACTTGTTGCAAATGGGGTACAGCCGGCCTCCCTGAAAAAAGTCATTTTTAAAGCTGCCTCGTAAAGTTATGACGTCAGTGACGTAAATAAAGTTAAAACGTACACGGCGACAGGGCTGAAAAGACCAGCCCCTGATAACCTTTTAGGCACAGAAACTTTATTACATCAAGATTTTCATTTAAAATGTGCAAAAAAAGAAGAAAATATTAAAAATATACCAGCCAGCCACTTATTGTATGTAGGAAATTAACAGTAATCTCAAGGGCTAGTTTTTTATTGCGCTAGTCTCCCACGCAACCGTATTTGTCTGGGCAAGAGACGCTAAAAAAGGGCTCGTAAGAGACTAGTGTTGAAAAGGAATATTATTTAGTACAAGAGAGAATGATCTAATTCTCTCTTGATTCCCACAATATATACGCCTTGCCATTCCAACTCCCCAAAAACAAAAAGAAATTGGATATAATGTGTACAGAAATTTTTGGAGCGGAAGGACAGAGGTGTACAGTATTATGGGCAATGTGACAGGAAGAAGCTAAATGAAATTATGCACGAATGACAAAAAAAAGTCACCTCCGCGACACAGGCCGACGCCCGATTGATAAGGGTGCGTCCTCAGTAAATCAACGAAATAAGTTACCGAAGAGTCAAATGGAGGTTCTGACCTTCAACGGTCATAACTATTCGCCAAGAAACTACTTATTTGCAGAGAAATGCTCTTACTACTCAATATGATAAGAGAACATGACAATAAATCCACGAACTAAACTTAAAATGCAGTTGAATCCTATTAAAATTCCTGCACATTCAAAGAGGACATCACAAAGGTATATCTAAGTAACAAGATAAAGCAAAGGAAAGCTTTTCTTACCCTATTCCAAGAATAAATCTTGTTAAAACCAAGTGCCAATATTTGGTGGCAAAGCCAGTGAGCAGCGTCATCGCACTCCAGAGTAAAAGACAGAAGACTATGAGATTTCTGCGATGATAAACACCTGCACAAAACCCAAGAGGAATTCCGCTTATGCTAAATACCAAAATAAAAACTGGACCAGCAAGAATCTGATACTGACTTCCAGTCCCATCATAATCCCAAACACACAGATGTTGGGAGGAATTTTCAAATTTTTTTCTTTCACATCTAAAAATTAAAGAAAATAGATATCAATTTTTTGGTATATATGTAGATATTTTAAGCTAAACGTTTTACTTTAGGAGAAAATATAACAAGCATAATAAAATTGATGAGTATTAAGCATATATAAATTGAAGCAATTGAAATAAGCTAAAAGTAAGTAATTAAAAGACAATATTTCGGTTTGTAGAGCTATACTTTGTCCTAGTAAATAGGCCATTTGTACGATGACGTCGTTTTTACTACTAAGACCAGAATTCATTTCATTTTTTCTTTCATACTTTTAAATTTGAGGTTTAAATAACAAAAGCCCAAATTTGCACAAGAAAGCAAAACCCAACCTTGTTCCCAGCTTCTCTCTCCTACCCGTCGGGTCCGTAGGGACGGATTCTGTTAGTAGTGGTAGTAGTAGTGGTAGTGGTAGTGGTAGTGATAGTGGTGGTAGTGGTAGTGGTAGTGGTAGTTGTAGTGGTAGTGGTAGTGGTAGTGGTAGTGGTAGTGGTAGTGGTAGTGATAGTGGTGGTAGTGGTAGTGGTAGTTGTAGTGGTAGTGGTAGTGATAGTGATAGTGGTAGTGGTAGTGGTAGTGGTAGTGGTAGTGATAGTGATAGTGGTAGTGGTAGTGGTAGTGGTAGTGATAGTGGTGGTAGTGGTAGTGGTAGTGGTAGTTGTAGTGGTAGTGGTAGTGGTAGTGGTAGTGATAGTGGTAGTGGTAGTGGTAGTGGTAGTAGTAGTAGTAGAGGTAGTAAAATGACGTCATCGTGCAGATGGCCTGTAAGGCCCAGTTCAAACGAGCCCAGGAGAGTACATGAAAAGTTCGGCGTCTGAATCAAATAGAGCCTTCTGGTTTTCGTCCCTGGGAAGTTCCAGCCACCGTTCTTTCATGGCAGATTCTACTCTACTTTCATCAACTAGAATGACGTAACACACAGGAAGTCAAGAGCCTAAATATGGACTAAAATCAGGCGCGAAGCCCATTCTACTGGGTAGCGTGTTTGGATAACAATTTCGTTACTGGATCGGATGGAATTGAGGGCTTAGAGAGAGGTCAGTAACTAAACATATTATTTTAAAATAAAGATAAAAATATTAGTACAGTTTAATCAAGTGCCTAGACCTCCCACCGTCAGGTGGAAGTGATTAACAATAACGTGGGAATATTTCACGTAATCAAAAACGGTTAGTATTGTAATAAAAGTTAGTATTAACGGCGTGCTGTCCACTAGCAGATCAAATAGACCAAAATTATGACAGCAATAACCTGAATAATGACGTCAGTCTAATGCCTACCTTCGATATATTAAAATTCTAACATGACTCTGAGGCTATAGGGCCCGGGGGGTGCTCCGGATTTCAAGTGACAGGGATGATCGAAGGAATTTTTTGGATAGGAAAATTTTGACAAGCATTTTTTGGGTAGCTTGATTTAAGCTTCAGGTTGGGGTATTCAAAACAGTCTAAATATTCGTGATAGTTCCCGTGTATCCCGACCGCGTAGTTTCTCTGGAAATTTTTATGGCTCTGAAATCCGGCATGGAATTTTTTGGTGGTTAAATTTTGGTCCAGCGATTTTTTTGGGATTTGTTTGAAACCCTAGGGATTCTTTTGGGTTCTTATTTTTGGCCCATTCGATCATCCCTGTCACTTGAAATCCGGCGTACCCCCCCCCCCCCTCTGGGCTGTAGGGACAAAACTGCATGATTTTGCAAACCAAATAAAGAAAAATGACCAGAAAGCCTCGGAATCATGTTAGGATTTTTTATTATTGTTGCTGACAGATGCTTGACAGCGTCTGGTAATTTTTTACGAGTTTTAGCTGATGCTATTTATGAAGCTAATCGTAGAAAATGTTCTGAAAAAAAATATGTACAGAAAAGTCAAAATGATTGTATTTGATTTTGGCTCAGAAAGTGACTCCGAAGTCGAAGTAAGAAATTACCAGTTTAAGCCGGCACTAGCCGGAAACTAGCTATAGTTTCACGCAACAAAAATCGCCGGTCTGTAAAATAATAAAAAAATAATGATATTGGTCAGTACTTACTCGGTTTGGTTTTTCTCCGGCTCATTCCTGTTTTTCGTGCTTTCGACACAAAAGTTTTTGTAATCCTTTGAAAAGGTAGAGTTGTAAGGCAGGCATCCTTTATCTCCAAACTTAATGTCGTGAGCCATGGGCTGCGATGACACAGCTAAAGCGTACCTGTCTAGTTGATTCAACAAAAATGCACCAAGCAAAAGAAATAGAACATACACCGCGTAACCACCGGCCTTAAAGACTACCACAAAACTGTCACCCATTGCTTTCTTGAACGGCTTGAATTTACGACGAAGGGAAAAGATAAATCAGCGACAACAGCGCGCAACAGAATATGACAAGAGATATACTTTGGTTGACCCGTGACCATAAGAGAAAACGTGTGGGAAGATATAAGTGCAAATGACAGTCACAAGATTCTTAAGTCCCAGCACGTTTTTCTCGACAAGTTTTTGTGAACAAGTTACCCCTGGTCCTGTCAAAGCCAAATTTGTCAAGTTTCACTGACATGTACACCACAAACATAGAAAACATTCACGTGTAAAAGGGATAATCACGACAACGTCGGACAATAGCCCGGCACAGTACTATCAAAAAGGTGAAATGTGTGAGGTAGGACCTTGGGTAATTATAAAGTTTATACTTTATACAGTGGATGCACGTGTCGCTAAATAGTGAAATTAATTGCAAACTCAAGACCCTGAAAACCACACCCTGCCCCTCACTCGGATCATCAAAGGAACCGACAAATCCAGTCCGGGAAAGATTCATCGGTTTCTTCGATGTACCATGATCCGGCCGAGAAATCTCAGATCACTGATCCTGATCCGAATCCTGGCAAAGGAACGCACCCTAAGAAAACTGAGGGCCTCTTCACATGAGCCCAACTGACCGGAATGGCCCGGTTACCGGGACCAATTTCGCCTTGGGTTTATATGAAAAATTTCAGCCCAGTTTCCGATGTGAGAAAAGGCCGAATATCCTTGCGAACGACCAATCGCAGCGCGGGTAATATTCACCACATTCATGAGTGTAATGGACTCTTAGCATGTCATTACCAGTGTCCACGTTGGAAAAAAGCATCTTTACTTGGTATTTTGTAATTTGAAACGTTTTTAATAGTGATTTCTCCAGAAGCGAGATTGCTTGTTTTTCCAAACGTTGAAAAGCTTAAGCAATCTTTAAAGGCACAATATAATCACAGCAATTTGATAACCATGAACCACAGTTAACTCGAACCAAAGGCAGTTTTCTCTAAGCGTCACTGTTTTGAAGTGAATATGCAAGTCACTCATTGAACAGCAGAGGATTTCCTTAGTTGGTTCAAGTTGAAGTGATTCAGTTACATTAATTAAATATATAACACTTTTCAAAAACGTTATCATTTGGTATTAAGCTGCTTAAAGTCACGGCTATTCTCCCTACGATTAAAAAAAGTATATAGTATAGCCGTAACCTGAGAAGAACTAGGAAACCGAATTGCATGACCTAGTGTCATGAACGGACCTTGACTAGCGTGACCTGGAGGCGTAATCGAGACATTAAAAAACAGTATGAGCTAGCGGGACAGATCAACTACGAGTCAACTACAAACTGTACTTATGATTCTAGGGCCGAATCATTTTTAATATGCAGGTAAAGGAGGCCATACTCCCCCTCGGTTATCTTATTGGTTCCATGGGTTTTCAGATGGACTTTTTATAGCAACATGACTGAAACAATGGGGGGGGGGGGAGAACTCATAATATCTCAAATACCACAATTCACTATTTTCACATAGACCACCATATAACAATGATTGTGCAAAACTTGAGGGTTAAACAAGGTGAGTTATGGTCTATGTGAAAATGGTGAATGTTTTTAAACTGCCGTGGTTTGGGTGATGCTTCATGAAAACCTGACACATGAGCAGTGTCAGCAATTAGGTCCTTTCTGAGTTGTTCCAAGCCTCTGTTTCAAAGCGAGGCCAAGTGTGAAACCATTGACATGAAAATGACTTTTTATTCTCATGCAAATAAAACTCAAATGAAGCCTCATTTGAAAGCGACAGTTTTTGGACCTCGGAAATAGCCTATTCACCAGAAGCTGACGGATTGCACATGGAAATCGTGCAAAGAACAAAAGGTATTGAAACAGTTGAGTTTAAATGAAACACCACTCAAACGGACTGCTTAAGACAATTTAAGGTGATCTGGCACGCATAACAGAACAGTCTGATTTATTATTAGAATAGTATAAAAGGTCTACATTAAAAAAACATTTTGTAGAGAGTTATGTGATGGACTAGTGTGAATGCCCTCAGAAGTCAACTTAACTATGAAAGTGTATTTAAAATTGTTACGTGGCTGACAACATCCATGGTATGTTTTCACTCCAGGAGGGGACTACTCAGTCCTATATGGGGAAGCTCCGCCTTTCGTATCCTTTTCATTGAAAAATGGTACCCCTTCAACATACGTTCTTACTAAGAATAAATCGTTTAACCAGGATGTCTTGTCATTTTCATGTAACCATTTAATAAATTAAAATTATATAACCATAAGGCCTGTGATATATAAAGAAAGATGGTCAGTTTTTAATGGAGACATGAGAAATAATGTGATCAACATGTCACAAGCTTGGGAGCCATCATGAGCATAAGGCCTGTCTCTTGGAAACATTTTAATTAAAGGCCCCTTTAAATACTTAAATTATAGATTTTTCCACCGTTTCATATTCAGTACTTCAACTTGTGAAATCCCTATCCTTTCATACACTGATATCTTAAGAAGGTGCCCTTTTGAGCAGAACCTCCATATATAAGCCACTACCATAGGGGTGACCCCCAGGCAGGCATCATGTATTTTCAATAATGAATTTTACGATAATATAGTATAACTTTGACAGATTTATACTCGTTTTCCAGGATTTTCTGCCGCAGGTGTCTCGGGCAATAATGGCCGTATCACGTCCTCTTCCTCTTGTGCACGCCGTAGATCCCGCTTCAGGGAAAACACAGTCAACAAGAACAGCACTGAACTAAGCAAGTACAAACCAGGAAACAGGATATATAATGCTGTACGCAGACTGGTTACTCTCTTTAGTGGAGGAACAAGCAATGGCATGTTACCGCCAATAATTGAGATTATAAAAAGGTAACCGGCGATCGCAGGTGAACGGATGGTGTTTGGCACAAGTTCAACAACCACTGTTAATGTCACTCCGACCCACATTTCACCAATGATGTTGGATGGTATGAGACTGATAAAAGCATACGGAGGTTTTAGAAACAGAGCTCCGGCAGCAAACGGGGCAGCGATCACCTGGGGGAAAATAAAAGTAAGTATTGTATTACGGCATTTGAAAAATATATTTTTACACCACTATGTCAACTATTCATGTTAACAATAAGATTCATTGAAGTAAACATGCATGAAGTATTCTAATTATCAATCACTTCTTACCTGGCTAAATACCAATACCCAGACTCTTGCATAAAATCCTCGGTTCTTTATGATTCGGTCTGAGATAAAACCTCCAAGGACCACGCCCAGGCTGCCACCCACTAGAGGAATCCAGCTCATGTATTCTCCAACATTGGTATTTGGGAAGTATTTGTTAAAGTAAGGCTGAGTGTTATAGGCCCAGACATAGCCGCCAGCATTCCTTATGGATCCAGCAAGAAACAAAATCACCAAAGAAGGGCGCACAAATGTTTTACACAGCAATATTATCTTCTGCTTCAGTAGCTCTGGTCTGGAGTGGCCGACAAGACTCTATTAAGAGAGTGGTAGAATTAACCTTATTGCACATAAAAATGGCAACATGCATACAAGAACTGAAAATATTGGAATGCCTTTATCAGTTGTACAAAATTCAGGTAATGAGCCCCTCTTAGCAGGGAGGGGGGAGGGGGCTTTCAGTGGCTTTCGGGTACATACATCCCTAGTCTGGATTTCAAATACAGTAATCTCACATACTGAGGAGTAGGCTATGTCCCAGTCACTATTCGATCCATCAATCTGTTGTTTGTCACCATTTTCGTCTATTTGTATGTTGCTGTTTCAAAGCCACATTGCTTGCTGGAATTTAAACCTAACAGGGCCTCGATAATCAATCATCATTAACTACTAGTGGTTAATGCAAATGCTTTGCAGAGGCATCTTTTTCTATCAGCAAGCTAAGTGGAGAAGAAATCTATCAGTTTTTGAATACTTGATATCAGCTTTGCTTGGCAAAGACCTGCTGCTGTGGATGGACACAATCAAACATGGCCTTCATAGGTCCCATGCAATGTGCACCCCACCCCCCTCCATTACCACAAACAACAGAGTTGTCACTAAGATGTCAAGTTGCCGGGTAACTACAACAAGTAGGCGGGGAATCAAACAGCTAGGAATTTCTTTTGGTTCTATTTTTCTTCTATTTTCCAATAAAAGTAGCCGGGGGCCACTTTCTTAGTAGCCGGGGAAAATCCCCAGCTCCCGGCTCTTAATGACAACCCTGAACAATGATAGAAAGATACCAGGAGTGATCACTTTCAGAGGTTACTTTTGTCCCTAGTCATTTCTTTATATAAATTTATGATTAAATGTCAGCATGTGATAAAAGATGAATGCCAAACAGACTAACAAGGATAAAATTTATGTGTTTATGTGTTTGCCTGTTCTTGAGTTTCTAGTGCCGTAGCTATGTATAACTCGGTACTGAGATGTTATTATAATATTTTTCAGATCCGGAAATGCTGGGTTTTTTCAATTAATCATTAACTATACCTCAATATAACGGACATTTTGGTGGTTTTCCCCAAAATTTTTTAAATGGAGGTGTTCGATATAATGAACCCTCGACATAACGAACAAATTTCCCCACTCCCTTGGCACTTCGTTAAAATAATTATCCTCAATAATTATTGAGGTTCCACTGTAACATGTTTTAGTCCTCATCCAAGAAGAGTAGAAAGTCTAACCATTTGCAGATGGGCAAAAAAGGCAGCACATTTCACTCTGTTATTTTACTAGTACTCTGAGTGATGGTCAAGCCAGATTCTAAGACATTGGCTTCCCTTGTAAATTACACCTGTAAACGTTTTATTAAATGCAACTGTAAATGCCAAGTCAACTGAGCTAACACGTTGGCAGTCAGTAACAGTGGCTGGTGTAGAACAAAACTCAGTTGTTTGACAGCTGTTTGAGTGGCACCAAATGTCACAATAATATTACTTGCACCAGTCGAATACCAGATCAGGTGTCAAGTGCTCACTCACAGGAGATTTAAAAAAAATGATATTTTTGTTAATTGTCAACTCCTAAAAATGATCGCCTTTAGTTTCAGGAAGTGGTAACATATTACACAGTACTGGTACCAGAGGCTCTATCTACAATTTAATAGTGTTTCAACGTAGGACAATTTTGGAAGTACCATGTAGTGCATACAGTCTGTAGATAGTGTTGATAGCTGAGTGCACATGGACAATGAAATGTTAACATAAAAATGTGAAAACATAGCTAACCTTTCCATCTCCTCTCTCACTCCTTGCTGGTTCTTTTAACGTAAAAAGCATAAGGATTCCAAGGACAAACCCAGGCATGGCGGCAATCCAAAACACCCACCTCCATCCTTTACCGTCAATATCAGCCTGAGTTATAAAGTTGCCAAATGCAAATGCCATGCTGTAACCGATATAAATTCCCCAGTTATAAACGCCAAGGGCAGCTCCTCGTAACGTCTAAATACAGAGAATAAAAGAAAAGGGGGCACATTACGATCACTAACTTTAATTAATTAATTGTAATTTAATTACACATAACTTTCATGCCTGCCACAATGCTCAACTTGTTACAAGAAAGACAAACATAACAAGAATATAATAAATTGTCAATTTTCCAGTCGGGAAGTAAATGTCAAGTCTTGCTCATCTCAGGCTCTTGGCTTCCAGATGGATCTTACTCCACAGGTCTTCCATCTTGACTACAAAAGAGTGTTATGTGCCCAAGGAACCTAAGTTTCATATCATCTTTAAGGTCTCACCTCTGGAAAATAGTCAGCAATTAAACTTGTTGCAAATGGGGTACAGCCGGCCTCCCTGAAATAAAACAGTAGTCGTTAATCTTAATAAATACTATTTTTTATTTATTATGAAACAATTTTAAGTACACATACCAAACAAATCTTTTGATAATGCATAAAAACTTCTTACCCTATTCCAAGAATAAATCTTGTGATAACCAAGTGCCAATATTTGGTGGCAAAGCCAGTGAGCAGTGTCATGGCACTCCAGAGTAAAAGACAGAAGACTATGAGATTTCTGCGATGAAAAACACCTGCACAAAACCCAAGAGGAATGCCACTGATGGTGTAAACAAGAATGAAAACTGGACCAGCAAGAATTTGATACTGATTTCCTGTTCCATCATAATCCCATACACACACATGTTGGGAAGAATTTCCTGCTCTCTTCCTCTCACATCTGAAACACAACACACAATTATTATTCTTTTCCGTCAATGCTTTATATTCATCAATTTCAATGAAAAAAAAAACAAGCAATAATAGGTACCACGGGGAGCCCACACAAACTGAGTGACAGTTGTAATGTTTAAATTTAGAGAAAATGTATGGGAATATCGAAAAGGTTCACATTATTGTAATACAATGAAAATAATTCTCACAAATAAGATCAAAATTAATGTGTTTTTATGCCAAACGCAAAACCCTTCGAATCACTATAATTCACTGGCTTTAGTTGCAAGAATGACAATACATGACATTTCAGGTAAAAAGACTTTTGATCATACATGTAAGAATTCATCACATTGTATTACGATAATGTGAACTTTTTTGATATTTCCATACATTTTATTTTCCTCTAAAATTCAAACCTTACAAATGTCACTCAGTTTGAGTGGGATCTCTGTGATAGGTTCTACATGTAAATCACACAGCTGGACTTTTCTTAGTTGGATTTTTTCCTCCAGCGGCATGCACTCATTGGTTGTTTTAAAGGCACATGCCATCTGACAGTGGTAAAAGTAGTAAACGTAAAGCATTAGCTACCCTAATACTTCACTAAATTGAACACTCAGGAGGATTGATGATGAATTTTGATGACACAAGGCTGTCATTAAGAGGCGGGGGCTGGGGATTTCCCCTGGCTACTATGAATGTGGCCCCCTGGTACTTTCATAGGAAAAGAGAAGAAAAAAAAGAACCAAAAGAGATCCCTGGCTGTTTTATACCCTGCCTACTTGTTGTATTTATGTGGCACCATGTGAAAACCAGCAATTTACTCAATTCCTTTCCCCCTTCCATCCCTATTATTTTACAGGCCACCTACCTTCCCCAAGCTCCACGATGTTCTGCCATACACATATTCTTCAAAGGTGGCCCCATACAACTGATTTCACTGTAATATCTACCGTATTTATTTCAGGCTATAAGCTGATCTTGGCCATAAGCCGAGACCCTAAACTTTGAATGCATAGAATCAATATAACTACGAATGAAAAATAAATCAAAAACACCCTGCTATAAGCCGAGACCCATTCGTTACGAGACTTTTGACTACGGTGAAACCTAACATTTTCAAAACAAATGTGATCTTCTCCAGGAAAATATACACTGACATTTTCCCGTTAAATGGGCAAAAACAAACGGCTAATAAACAGCTTTTCAAAGCGTTTGAATAGTGTGACTAACACTTTTAACTGGTAGGCAAAAATTTCTGACAGCTTTAGAAAGTGTTCGAACAGATTGCCTTGATTTTCTGAACGGTTCGCGTAATGGGTTGACTAAATGACATAAACAGCTTACACGATCCAAGTTTTAAACAACTATTGTTTGGGTTTTTCACTGCTATCAATCTTCATTGCATTACATGTATGCTTCAAATGGTCACAGAAATCGCCTTATAATCAAAACAAACCACAGCAGTTTGTGTTGCATTTGTCCGTGCTAAGTGACCAGGCAAATGTTTTGAAGGACGTGTTTGACCAAACAAGGTGGATTGTTCAAACATTTCTTGACATCTTTCATTTGTTTTAGACCTTCCCTTGTTGTAAAAGGCTTACCAATGTGTAATTTTAATTGTGAGCCCTGTTTTTGTCAGATATTTTGACAATTTGGGACTGAATTTCTGTGCTTAGCTAAGTTATCACGCCAGAGGGGTACTCCCTATAATGACCTATACGGGGAGGCTCCGCTTGAAAGGGGTACCTTTTTCAAGCTTCAGGTATATCAAAGGGTAGGGATTTTACTCATTGAACTATACGAAAGGGTAGAAAAATCTGTCATTTGGGTAAAGTTCCTATTTAACCCTATTCAGACTGGGCTTTTTTTTGGTCAATCTGTGACTGACTCGGACCCCCCTCTGTATCTCTGGAACCAATAATGCTAGGGTCGAAATTTACACAAATGGGCAGTTTTGAACAGATGAATACTTATTATTTTTATGGTAAAATATCAATAATATTTATAAAGTTCCTTATGAACTAGTAACAAGGAAAATGAAAAACAATGAAGCAATAAAATTTAAAATTTGAAATGGTTGTCCGCCATCTTGGAATGCGTTTTTTTGTTAAAATTATAATTTAAAGCAGTTCAAAAGGGATGAAAAGTTCAAACTAATGTTTATTACCCAAAAAAAATGAGGAAGTGTTTTTGAAAATAGAGGGGAACCGATGTTGAAACATTTTGATGAAAATGGTATTTTGAAAACAAACAGGATCTTAAAACAAAAAAAAATCACCATTTTTTAAATTTTCCAAAACCTATGGGTTGAAACTGGTTGCCATGGCAACATGATTAAGCCTGGACATGTAATTATACCAAAATGTTATAAATTTTAGGAAAAGTCAGAAAATTTGAACGTTAGCTCTTTCGGTGTAGGAGTTATCACCCCTGCCCCCATCTGATTAAGGTTTGTAGCTTTTACAGCAGTTATTAAAAAGGGATGCCAAGTTCCAAACGAGGTATGTGAGAAGGGATCAATGAAAAATGGTATTTTAAAGGGGGGACATTGGGAGCCTCCCTGTTTTGATTTTCATTAAGGTTTGTTTTGGCTAATTTTTAGATCGGTTTTTCGGTTTTTTATTTTTAGATCGGTTTTTCGGTTTTTTTCAGTTTTGGTTTTTGGTTTTGGTGGTCATTGCGGTTTGTGGATTTTTCGTTTTTTAGCATCTGGTTTTCAGTTTTCGTGAAAAATACTAGCAGTTTTTCAGTTTTGGTACCCGACGTGGTTTTTGGTTTTTGGAAGGGCAGTGAGGTTCAATAATCGACTGCTTTTTTGAGTATCTGTTTATTACCACATTAAACCTTAGAGCAAGTTCTTGCTGCCATGTAAAACTGAAAAGGAACTAATTGTACCGGTTAGCTTCCTCAGCGTCGACTCAGCTCAGTGAAATTAGTGTTAGTTTTGTTTGCTCTGTATGTCTCACTTGTCACCATTGTATCGCTTTTTGATGGTTTTGTATGCGGTTTTCGGTTTTGGCCGAATTTTTTTGCAGTTTTGGATGATTTTTTTCTTCAGTTTTGCGGTTTCTAATATACCCCAATGCCCCCCTCAATAATTGATCGCGTAACTACTAATTATTAGATCTTTTACTGCTATTTGCTAGGCTTATAAGTGAATATGGTACAAGTATCCCCTGTTATTAGAGTTTCAATGCACTGAAAATAATTTTTTCAAAAACTTTTGGCTAAGAGATGAGACCACCTCTTGGGCTCAAATTTCACTTAACTTTAGCACTAATTTGTGTACAAATTGTTCAGCTTATACGTGTAGCTGAATAGAGTACCGAAGTGTGACATCATGAAAAATGAAATTTGTGAAATTATGGGATTTGTTAAGATATTCTGAAAGAACAACGTCCAAGACGCCTACTCGCCAAAAATTAGCAATTTGGGGCAGATAGTCTCTGAGATATTAGCCCAGTTATGCTCCGATGACTCCATACAAATCCTTCTAAATCTTACCTGGTTCCTAATCTTATGAACCAAGCTAAATTTAGAAGGATTTGTATGGAATTATCACAGCATAACTTGCTAATTTTTGGCGAGTAGGCGTCTTGGACGTTGTTCTTTCAGAATATCTTAACAAATCCCATAATTTTACAAATTTCATTTTTATGACGTCATCACTTCGGTACTCTATAAATTAATACAGTATCAGTCCTCATACCTTTTGCATTACAGAGCCTTACCAAAAGTCACATAAAAATTTGACTATAAACAAACTACAGATGTAGCAAATACTCTTGCACCCTGCTGACAGAGCCTTACTTTCAACTTGCTCAATTTTGGCACACTCGAGAAATTCTTCATCGCTATTTTTCCTTTGTCCCTTCCCATGAGACCCCGCGCGTGCCTCAACCTAACCCCCAATCTTCTCTCACCCCCAAAACACACAAATTGTGACTGGGTTTGAGTCTGTGACACTATTCAGGTAGAACCTCCCTTTTTCCTCTGCATTCAAGAAGACAAAAGGGGGCTTTGCTTGCAGGGTGATACTTTTGGGGAGTGGATGAAAAATGTAACACATCACAAGTGAAAGCCTTTCAGTTAACACAGCATTTTTTTGCTTAACACAACAATCACTCCTAGACGTTGCAAAACAATTTTCAGTCAACCCAGCATTGCCCTTTGCAACCCTCTAACCACAACAATTACCACCGAATGTTACGAAACAACTTTCTGCGTAAGATGACCCGACACAGAAAGTACACCATCATGGTATTTCTTACGTAACACAAGAGCACGTACTGTTCCAAAATCACGCGATGGTTTCTGATTTCTACTAAATATCCAACAAAATTCTATGCGTCAGTCATCATTTTCACAACTGAACATAAATTTTACGGTCACAGGTTTGTCATGTGTCTGTAAAATAGTTATGAGTAACGAACTCACTGTTCAAAACACGTGCAGGAAAGAGTCTAGAAAGTAGAAGCAGCTAAAACCTTGGTATACTTACGCAGTTTGGTTTTTCTCCGGTTCATTGCTATCCTTTACGCTTTCGACACAAATCTTTTTGTAATCCTTTGAAAAGGATGAGTTGTAAGGCAGGCATCCTTTATCTCCAAACTTAATGTCGTGAGCCATGGGCTGAGATGATACAGCCAAAGCGTACCTGTCAAGTTGATTCAACAAATATGCACCAAGCAACAAAAATAGGACATAAACTGCATAACCACCGGCCTTGAAGACTACCACAAAACTTTCACCCATTGCTCGATTAAACGGCTTGAATGTGCGACGAAGACAAACAATGAATCGGCGAAAAAGGCGCAGAACAAACTGTACGATGCTCTTTCGCGTGACTGTCATCGGATTTGACACAAGTGAGCCGCAGGCACAGCGGTTACATAAGAACAAACGGGCAGCGGCACAACTAGTACGTCATATTTTTTGCATGAATTGTGTGGTATAAGTCCTCCCTGCCTTTTAATAATCTGAAATTGTGTTAAAATTCTCAGGAATATTTGTCTTTAAGGGTCTTACACAGACGCTCTCACGGTTCTTCTTAACCAACAATAAATAACAGCTATGGTTCTGCCTCAACCTCGTCCACCCTGGGAACATTCGGGTGATTCTGGCATTCTGGCTACTCATCCCTGCACATGACATCCCTGGCATAACGGCCTCATCGTTTCTAAATTTTTCTACATCTACCCCCTCTTTCATTTTTTTGCGAATAGAAGAGGAGAAGGTGGGAGGTTCGTGCCAAAGGGTCACACAGAAATCGGGGCTGGTTTACAACTTTAAGGGGCAAACTTCCTTTACGAAGAAGAGCAAAACTTCCCTGAAAATTGCATTAAATTTTGTAAACCAGTCTCTGGTCTTGAGAGCCATTGAATAAGCGAATAGCCTGACTGGTGGAGAATACAGAAACTCTCTCTTTCCATCTTTTCCTTCCCCTTAATTTCATGCTTTTTTATGTGTCACCATTTGCAGAAATTCGTCTAACGGCGTTACGAGGTTTGTTTCTTTAATAATGAATACCCGAGTACGGTAAAACCTAATTGTTGAGGAAATTCTTCGAGATGAACATCTTTCTAAAGAAATTCTTAGAGACTGAATAGTATCTTTTCATGAATTCAAAGGATCAGACCCATCCGTTGCCTGAACTATTGGAGAAAATTTATGATCAGAGTAGGAAGCAAAGGCAAGTCAAGCTGAAGACTACCAATACCACCAACTGTTATACGTCTACTGTACTTAGGCTAGACTTCGTAATGGCTGAAAGAAAAATTCTCAAATGATGTGCATTCTTTTGTAATGCGCGCGCAGGAGCCTTTTACCAAATCAGTCAAATTAATGCTCCTGGCACGCGCTATTGAACTATTATGACGTACGGAATGGTTTTCAATGAACAAAAATGGATCCTGATAAAGGTAAGTAGGTTCCTTGAAGAATAACTGTTAAAAGGACCAAAGCATATGGCCCATGTAGTGAAAATCAGTGGAAAGTGATAACCGCCGCCTGGTTAGCTCAGATTATGGTAAAATCGTTCTGAGGCTAACCAAACTAAAAATACAGCTCAAGGAGACTTGTCCCGGCAGCACACTATAACCACTCAAAGGCAGTGTTTTCAACCAAACACATGCGGGCGATTGCCAGAAGGACTTTTGAATGCCAATGAAAATTGGACTCTTGCTGAAGGACAGATATTTAGACAGATTCTTTGTACCTTTCAGACGCGGAAGGGCAAACTACGAAGCGGAACGAAAACAGCACGCAAATGTACGAAGCGCAAGTAAGTCATACAAACTTTGACACCCGAAAGTAAATGAGAGAAGAATTAGCGAGCCTTGAGACATTTCTGTAAAGGCATCATAAGCCTTAAATTAAACTCAGTATTTCAGGGGAAATTTTGGCACGACTAGACGCTCTTGCCGTAGGCGGTCTACAATTTATAGTCATCTCTCACGTTGCAGATCCCTCTCCATTTTGAACAATTAATAACCCCAAATCCCCCACAAAAATCAATAGTACAGGCGTTCACATATTGTCTGAAAAAATCCCGCTAACATGGATTCTCGCAATTCAAATTATTTATTAACTAGCTACCCGAGGGTATCCGTAATAATGGCAGATCATGACCCCACTGGATTGGCGGTTAAAATTGAAAAAAATGGCTAAAATGTTCCCGTATTCATTCATGTAAGAACGAGACCTTCTGTTTCTGGAAAGCAGAGTACAAAATAGTTTACTGGGGTCATCTAAATCAGGCTGAGAAAGACTTCCCTCTCTGGAGGGTAGAACTAGATGAACAATATAAAAAGGACCTTTAAGAGCACAAGAGTGTCATGATCAAAAAAGGGCGTGTCGCTAACTTTACTGAACTCATCCGTGGGCTCACAGCCAATTTTGAAAGTCTACCCGATTTCCACTTTTTCGTTCTTCTTTTTTCCAGTTAGTGGACGTCCCTCTTGTTAATTCAGAGGGTAAAATGCTGTTACCACCAGCTGAATTAGGAAAAGGATGCCCCACCCCTGTTTACGCCAATCCTCGCCAGGTTCTACGAATCCTCAAACGAAGGGAAGCCAAAAAGAGGCTTGCTCGTTCAGGAAAACTGAAAAACCGGGCCAAACGAGTATGTATGGCGGCGCAGTAAATGTTTCGTTTATTCCAAACGTGCTGACTGGACACATTGTTCCAATCTAGACTCGATTATCATGTTAATTCAACTGTAATCAACTTCTGATTAATTGATGAGAGAATTCACACGCAATACTGCCTGAAAGGCTTAAGTTTTGAGTTAAGTCTAGGGCTGGCTTACGTGCACGCTACGATTTATCGCGCGAATTTTCCAACGTAACACAAAAAAATCACCTGTTATGGTCCTGTTGTTGTCCGATTTTAGGCCGATTTGAGATTGTTCCTTACCGTTTTCCAAACTGAGTAACTAGTCACGTTGTCTGAAAAATTATAGGATAAAAAGAGAGCTGGAAATCAAGATGGTAAAACAGACAGTGATGGAGCGAGTCCTAAAAAGTCTGGTTAGCACTTAAAACAGACGCGGAAAAATTGACTCCGGTAGCCTGGAACCGGTCACTGCAAGTTAAAGAGTGCATCTCCGTCCAATGTAAATTTAATATTGAATGTATAAGCAGTAAAGAAATTTCCAGTTGAGATTATTATTATTACTCATTCATAGACCATCTGCACTGCTGCTGTAATCAACCACACTGCTCGTAATTCAGACCGTTGAGATGATACTGAAACTTCCTTCCGTCCACGATTTGAAAACAGTTCCTTTCTATTCCGAGATACACAGAATCCGTTCAAAACCAGACGCAAAACAGAAGAGCTAGACTAAACTGCGATTCTAGACTGCAAAACAGTCCGTATTTTTGCGTATTCAAGTAAGCGCGAGCAGTCAAACAAAAGGTCTGGAACGAGGCTGAAAACGGAGAGTGAGACTGGGGAGAGAAGGTTTTTCTCCTCTCGCCTTACACGCCCTACGGGCGTGTGAGGCTCCCAACAGAAATTTGCATGCCCCGTAAGCATATTTTGAGGTTCCGTGACCTTCCCACCAGCGCTACGAGAAGCTAAGCCTACTGAAAGATTCAGTTAGCTTTGGCTTAGAAAAGTGATGTTGCAGTAACCCGGGCACTGCTGGAATGTTTAATTTGTGACTTTTGCGGCTCAATTTACCACCTTCTCAGAGGACTTCTTTCCACTTTGGAGTTGGTAAGTCCTTCCTTTCGCTAAATCTGTTATTCTTGCCAGATGCGGTTTTGCGATTTTTCTTCATACACTTATCTTATGCAAACAGTTTCTTTTAAACGTTTTGGCAAAGATTGCTACCAAGATTTGCTAGAAAATATTTGCTACAGCTCACAATCAAGGACATAAGTGGGAACAAACAACCACTCTTACAGCGGGGGAGAACCGGCTCCTTAATGCGTGTGTTGACTTCAAGGGGGAGAGCTTCTGAATCGGTCCTTTCCGAAGTGAATCTTCGCCGTGGAGGAGACATGGGAGCTTTGTTAAGTTTCGACTTTTCTTGCCATTCCTTACTAGCTTATCCGGCGAGTGCCAGGCTAGCTGAGGGCGAATCATCATTTTTCCTTTACCGGTTGCCTGTCTGCCACATATTTCTTAAAAGCGATGAAATGCGTTTAACCGCGGGTTTTTATTGTGGAGCATTGCATGTTTTTGCTACAAAATGCTACAAAAGTAAAGCAGTAACCACATACGATCATAGACTGCTTTTTATTTCATATTATATCTTGGGCTTGCTTGACTTCAAACAAACTTCAAACATATTTAACATTAATTATATGTAAATTCTTCATGGATATTAGACTAACTCAAAACAGTATTGCCACAAACAAATGCTCGTTTATACAGTCATGTACATGGGACTTCTTTTTCGGTATCTTTCTTTATAAGACGTAACCATTTTAATTCTCTTCGACTTGTCTAACCTCCGAAATTTTTAACGCAGTCTATTCAATGCTATATTATAAGCAAAGATTTTAGAACCAAATTTTAGGAGCAAAAAAAAACCTTTGTGAAGGCTTTAGCATAAAAGCTGTTCATTGCTCCATAACACCAAGGATGCAAAGCGCTTGGCAGACACCTTAAAAGAACACTATATCTTCTCATGAGGCTGTGATACCGAAATTTCCATTCGTTCACATCAGCTAATCTTTCCCACAAAAACACGGCTTGATATCAGGGGCACCCAACGAAAAACAAATCATTGTTGAAAATATAAGAATAAACGCGTAAATCATCTTGAAAGTAAATCCTTGCTCAGCATCTGCGTCATCTGGTTTGTAAAACCTCTACGGTTTTTGATGTTCGAAAACCAAGGCTTGTCGTCGTTCGTCTTTCCTTCTTGCAGTGTTCTTTCTTCTTCCCTGTTGTTTGTCATCTTAAGTAAAGTTCAGCATTGTCAGCAGTTTTTGAAGACCAAGGGATGATCGATGTCTGAGCTGCCTGTTGTCTTTGCAGCAGCTGAAGAAGGGCCGATTGGCTGTCGATTGGCTGGTTTCAAGCTACAGCTCCGTAAGATGCTAGCATGACAAAGTAGGGTAGGACATAAATCAGGGTGAATAACACGAGCACATAGGCAGAGCCATTCCCAACAGGATGCAATTCACAATGGCCACCTACGAACCTGTTTTGAATAACGAATATGGGCACACAGACAGCAGTAGGAACAAGCCACAAACAGGAAAAGATCACAGTCCTCAATTTCCCAGATACATGGCTTTGGATGGGGTTGACGAGTACTCGGTAGCGGTAGAATGCGAGCGCTGCCAGCGAAAAAGTTACTACCATCAATGAAATAACTTGGATGGGATTCGCAA